TCTTTCTTGCCCCCTTGGAGTAAACAGAGAAAATACCCATTACTGTGCATCGAGATCCAGGCACCACTCGGTTGGCCAGGTATCGATCGGCCGAGATGAGAACGTGTCTGGGAAGCTCACCCACCGGCACCTGGTCGGGCGCTTCCTGAAGTTTGAGAACTTGCTGATCAACGAATTGACATTTCTCGTGGGCAATCACATAAGGATCGAGGGGGCACTGCTCGCCGGGCTCTTCACCGGGTAGCTTTTCACGGCCACACCGTCTGGGAAGCGTTAGGCCAGAGAAACCGCCTTCTACTCGGATGTTTTCGCTATGGTCGCAGCCCTTGCATCGGATGTGGACAACGGTGGCCTTGGATGATATCGTAGACGCGCCAATCACAATTCCCGGAATACGAACAAGGTGAGAGATGTTTGTAGCGTTCAGGTCCCGAATGGAGATGTGTGATGCGGATGAGTGAAGCAAGAGCTGGTGGGATGGAAGGACGATGTCTCTTTGAGATGGATAGACAATTCGCTGAGTGCATTGTTGGAGAGCTGCCTCGAACTAGAGAACGCAAAGATGGTTAGAGTCGGCCGTTATGAGTCTGAAGGCCATACTCACAAGGGGGATGATATCGGCAGGTTCGGTTGTGAGCTTGTGAGCGAGCTCCTCGTTGTACGATATTAAATGGGCAATATCAATGTCACAGTAGTATTGCTTCACGAGAACATTCTGCCGCAGTTGATCACTATAAATTCGGTTAGTCTGTACAAGATTTCAATGTCCATCGGCCAAAATACCGGTAAATAAATGCGTTGTCAAGTTGGAACTCCAATACAAACTCGCGCAGCCTTGCTTGGATTTGTGTGCGGGACTCTTCTGCGCCATCTGTGCTGGGAGCAAGAACGCTCAGAGTATAGGGAGTACGTCTGTCCATATTGAAGACAGCGATGGAGGCTGATGGGGAAGGGGAAGATTGCGTGGATGATGGAGCACCTCTATCAAGGAGAAGATGCGGACAACTTTTGCACTGTTGAAACACGAATGCAACGCGTCGCGTCCGAACACGCGTTAATTGATTTTAGCCTCAGGCAGACACAGGCTTTGGCTGAGCACCGGGGCGCTGCCGGGAAAATGTTCACCCGATACCCAAAATAGGTCTAGGTGCCGCGGCCTCGGGGCCTGGCGCCTTACCCGATCAGGATGCGCTGTCATGATCCCAAAGAATGAAGCCCCGTATCATTGCTCGCTGGTATCTGGGTGACGTTGCGGTCTGATTTCCTTTTGTCTTTTCCTGAAATTGGTCTCTTTCCCCCTATTGGCAGGCCGACTGCGCAGTTGAAAGATAGTTGGTGAAGACACGGCTGCTCTGTCACTTCTAGAACGACTCGAACAGCTGTCTCCGTGTCATGTTAAGATAGTGTCGCTCTCCAACTTCTGGCCGCCGGAGTCGGTCATTAGGCCTGCACGCAATGTCCTCTATGAGCCCACGCAAATCGATCGATAGCTTGGCCTCGGGTACATCCACGCCTTCGCTTTCTCAGTTTTCGCTCAGTCAGATCGAATCTCCCCGTGCTCCGCCGCAGAAGTACCCTTTGCGAAGAGGATCAACTGCCAGCTCCATAGCTAGCATTGCTAGCATTGGAGGGGTGCTTGATCCATCCCAACACCATGGTTCAATCGCGGAGTCAGGACAAAATGGTGCGGTGTCTCTAGTCTCTCATAGTTGTTCTTATCACTAATCAATGCGTTGTGCAGCAATTTCCACCCTTCTTCAGCCCCCGATCGTCCGCACAGGTCTTGTTCCGCATACCGCCGTAGCGTCCACTGGGTACAAGCCGCCCAGCACACGAGACATCCCTCCGGTCACATTGACAAATATTCCCCATGTGGACTCGAAAGCCTTTCAGCCGTACCTGTCGCAGGTTGGGTCACTATACGAGGTGTTTCAGCAGGCAAAAGAGTCTACGGCCGATCAGGATGCTCAACTAGCTCGGGATGGCAAAACTGCTCCGAGGCCAGACGAGCATGGCTCTCTGATGCCCCTGCCTACGGAGAGACGAGCATCCGTGCTGTCGACGAGTTCCAGAGCAACATCGCCTTTCGATCCACGGGGTCGAAGGCGGTCGTCTGGTCGAGGCCGCGGCCAGGGCATCACACCGCTGTCTGTAATTCCACCGGTCTATTTCGAGGATGACTTTCACCTTGAAAACCCTCGGACTTTCGATGTGGTATCTGAGAAGTCGGAAGTTGTGAGACCGCCAAAGCTGCCAGGAAAGGACGGCCAAGGGACCAATGAATCGGCCGCTGAAACAGCAAACACCGGGAGAAAGGCGCTTGCCACAAATGCAATCCTACAAGAAAAGCTCTCGTGGTACATGGATACTGTCGAGGTCCACCTCATCTCTTCCATCTCGAGTGCGTCTAAATCGTTCTTTACCGCGCTGGGCTCCCTGCGTGAGTTACATTCAGAGGCAGCCGATTCGGTCAAAAGGATACAAATCCTACGAAAAGATCTTCAAAAGATTGACCGTGAGATGGCATTGGGTGGGTTGAAAATTGTCAATCTGCGACGCCGCAGGGAGAATGTGCGAATGCTTGCGGACGCGGTATCCCAGCTGCGAGATGTGGTTCAGTCAGTTGCCCGATGTGAGGAATTGGTTGAGAACGGGCAAATCGAGGAAGCTGCAGACAGTCTTGAAGAAGTGGAGCGATTGATGGCTGGGCAGCAAACCACCAATAGCGGCGAGGATGGTGCATCGCGGGATCGATCCAGGAAGCCGATCGACTTGCGGAGACTTAAGGCCCTTGAAGGTGCTTCGGATGACCTTGCGCAACTGAGGTACCGGATAGGCATGGGATACGAGAACCGGTTCTTGAACGATCTACTTGGGGACTTGCGCAAACACATTGAGAATGTGCCTTCGGATGTGACACTACAACGCTGGGGCTCCTCGTTCCAACGACAACGCGGAGCGCAGCGGCCAGGTGCCTCGTCATCTCCAGCTTATATGAAGTTTGATGAAGACGTGAGATCACGGCTCCATACGAATCTGATTGGACTCGCCCGTGCGCAATACACGACACCAGCAGCGACTTCGTTCAAGACAGCAGTTCTCCGGGAGATGAAGGGCCTAATCCGTAAACACATGCCTAGCTCCAGCGATGATGACAACGAGTCGGTGGTGTCAGTGTCTACGCACAGGTCCCAACAACGTAGCCAACAAGAGAAATCATCGATACTGGCGCGCAACCTGCGCGCTCTAGACGCGGAGGATGCCTACAATATGCTCACTCGAGTCTATACCGGCATCAGCGAGTCATTGCGGAGACTTAGCGTTCAAGTCAAAGTACTTCTCGACATCGCCAGCGGGCTTGAGAGTCCTCCGGCTGCTGGCCTCAGTTCACCCCCTCGAAGTCCTGACCCACAGAGTATGACCAACCCGAGGGGTTCTCGGCTGCCAGCGACAATCCAAGCGCAGGACGAAATCTTGCAGGTTCTGGACATGTCCAGCCTTCTTGGACAGGCTGTTGACATTGCTCAGTCACAAATTACGAAGGTATTGAAGGTTCGGTCGGAACAGACATCTCAATTGCCCAAGGAGGAGTTTCTCCGCTACTTCACGCTGAATCGACTTTTTGCCGACGAATGCGAGGCTATTTCTGGGAGAAGTGGCACAGCCCTGAAGACTGTTGTCAGTAACCAGATCCGCGAGTACATTAACAGATTTGGGGAGAACCAACGGCACCGTCTCGTCGACGTGATGGACTCTGACCGATGGGACGCGCGCGATTTTGGTGAGACTGAGACTGCCATTCTCAGCAGAATTCTCGATGCAAGCACCAAGGATGTTGAAGCCTGGTTAGCTGCCTCTAGGATCTGGTCGCCGCAGGAGCAGCAGACCGAGAATGCCAGACGCCATTCTGCTGCCACCAATGGCACAGGCAAGGACAAGGTGCGCAGTGCCGTGATTGACGAGCAGAAATACATCCTTCCCGAATGCGCGGTGGCGATGATGAAGAGCATTGAGGAGTTTCAGTTTCTTATGGCCAATATTCCAAGTATGATACAGGATATAGCCCCTGGTCTGTTGGAGTCATTGAAGTTATTTAATTCTCGATCTTCGCAGCTCATTCTTGGTGCTGGGGCCACGAGGAGCGCGGGGTTGAAAAATATTACCACAAAACATCTCGCTCTTTCCTCACAGGCCCTGAGCTTTATCATCGCCTTGGTACCTTATATAAGGGAATTCGTGCGACGGCATGCCCCGTCGAGCCCCCTGATGGGCGAATTCGACAAGGTCAAACGACTGTACCAGGAACACCAGTCTGGGATCCACGAGAAACTCGTGGACATCATGAGCGGCCGGTCTTCTGTGCACGTCAACTCAATGAAGAAGATTGACTGGGACGCCGCGGCGGGAAATAATGTCAACCCGTACATGGAGACCTTGACGAAGGAAACGGGCACTCTGCACCGTGTTCTGAGCAAGCATCTGCCGGAGACGACAGTCATGATGATCATGGACCCGGTGTTTAGAAGCTACCGCGATCAGTGGACCAGAGCTTTTGAAGAGGTCACCGTCCGCACGGAGGCCGGTAAACAGAGGTACGTGGCTTTATGCGAGTTTCGAGTCGATCTGTTCTAACCATTCTCAGGATGCAACGGGATGCAGAACATTTCCAGACCAAGCTAAGCAAGATCGACGGCTTCGGAGACTTGGGACAGCGTCTGCTTGAGTTGGTCCAGGGCAAGAGTACTACATCGCCGGACGAGAAGCCAGCCGCATCAACCGAGTCACCGAAGGAATCTCCCCGGGAGACCAGTGAAGAGAGCTCGAGGAGTTCCTCTTGACGTTAGGACGCATGGCATGGCATGTTAGCTAATCCTTACTGTCCGACAGCACCGCTAATCACCGACATGTTCATAATATTAATAGGGGATGCTACATTGTTTAGACTTGTACATAAGTGATGCTATCATACCATACCCTCACTACATCTCCATATACTTCATGCATGATTTCATATCATTTCATTTCATCAACGAATTGTATACTTTACAGTAGAATCATAACGAAGCCCTCGCTTCAATGAATGCATACCATACAGACCACACCAGACCAAGGTCCAAACGCACCGCGCAGACCCAGACCCAGACCCAGACCAAACTCCAGCAAAACCCGCATGCCGGTTCACCCAAATCTAAACACACATTCGTATTATCGACAAAACTCACGCCTTATTCGCACCAAGACCCTTGTTCTCGCCTAGGGAACGAGGCTCATGACCGCCCTTGCCGCTCGAGTGGCCAGGGGCACCGCCGCCGCTGTGCATGCCGCCGGCAGGGACATCGGGGAGGTCAGCTGTGCGGTTGACGCGGTCGAGGTGATCGTTCTGCTCTCGTTAGTTACTTATCCATATTTCCATAGATACTGACTGGAGTGGTGGTGGACGTGGACATACAGCAGAGTTGATACCGTGGATCTTTGTCTCGCCGGCCTCGATGGCGTTGTCGGACTGGGGGACGCCGTTGTCGTATTCTGCTCCGCGAGGCATGGTGATTGTTTCGTGTGTCTTTGAATGTAGATGTGGATAGATCTGGAAGAGGTTAGCTAGCTGGTTTCGATTTGAGCGTTTGCGTGGTGATTCGTACGATATAGATAGTTGATGAGAGGATCGGTAGTGTAGTGTAGTGTAGTGTAGCTTGTGGTCTATGACTTGAATCGGAATCGATAGTAGTTGACGATGCCAGCAGCAAAGGGAGTTTCTGGCTCTATATAGCTCTCTCTCTGAGCTCGATGGAACCGACGTTGGTAGATATTCTTGGTCGTAGTGGAAGACGACACTGACAGCATCATGAGGTCATTGTGGAGCGAGGACCGAGAACCAATGACTTCATCTGTCCGGTTGAGGTGCGATGACAACAAAGTGAACTAGTCATTGATAGAGGGTCTGAAGGGGTTCTATTACGATATTTGAGATATATTTGACAGGTTAAGAGGTAAGACTTGGCAAATGGACGCGCGAGTGTATGGAGCTATGACTTGGAGGCTAGTATATTGTGTTCGGTGTACCTGATCCTGATCCTTCAGGCAATATTACCCCACCAACTGGCAAGTACACTGAAGATACCTCAGGCACGGATCTTTTGCCTGAAACAAGTTCAGCCACGCTCTATGCAGATAAGAACCAACAACTCGCGGAGCAGCTGAGCATGCGCTTCTTGACTCGCCGTCGAGATATATCATATGCTGCATGCATGAGGAGGGACAGTGCAGGAAGGGGTAAAAATCGAACCGTCCTCCATCTCACCACAACCTAAATCATGTAGTAGACACCTACCACTCTTCTTGGATACAATCTCCCAGATAGTACTTCACTTGGGAGATTTCAAATAAAAGAAAAAAAATGCCCTCAATGAAAGTCATCATTCTGCACAGCCCCGGGCCCCAGAAACTCTCAAACTCACTCACCACCCCATCCCAACCCCCAAACCAGGTGAACTCCGCATCAAAATCAAAGCATTCGGCCTCAACCGCTGCGACCTCCTCACTCGGCAGGGCCACGGCCACCACCCATCACCTATCCACGAATCCCCGGCATCGAAGCCGTCGGCATCGTCGACGGAGCCCCAGGCCTAGAACACACGTTCCCGCGGGGTAGCATCGTAGCGACCGCCATGGGCGGGATGGCGACTGTTTTCGACGGGGGCTACGCCGAGTACACATGCGTACCAGCGGGGCAGACGCAGCTCCTCCGGCTCAAAACGACTCTGCCATGGGAGATCCTCGGAGCGATCCCGGTGATGGTGCCGACGGCGTGGGGGGCGCTGATTCGGTCGCTGGGGCTTAGGGCCCGGGATCGATTGCTGATACGCGGGGGACGACGGCTGTGGGGCTGGCGGCTGCTGCGATTGCGAAGGTGCACGGGGCGTATGTGGCCAGTACGACGAGGAAGAAGGAGCGGGAGGCGATGTTACTTGAGAATGGGGCGGATCGGGTCTGGATTGATGATGGCGCGGTTGCAGCGCAGATTGGGGATGCTGGCTCGGGGGTTACTATGATAAAGTGCTGGAGCTGGTGGGTGCGGCTACTTTGGCTGACTCGCTGCGGTGTGTGAAGAAAGGGGGTGTTGTATCTCTGGTGGGCAGGTTGAGCGAGAAGGAGGATCTGGAGCAGGTGGATCTGATGGAGTTGATCCCTTCTGGGATCAAGCTGACGGTGTACCGGGGGACGTCTGAGGATTTCATGAGCACGCCGCTGGATGCGATACTGAGGCTGGTTGAGCAGGGACGTTTGAAATTCAAGATAGGACGAGTGTTGCGGATGGAACAGATTGTCGAGGCCCATCGGTGTATGGAAGAGAATGAAGCGGAAGGGAAGATTGTGATTCTCCCTTGAGGTAGAGGGTGCAACAGCTTTTTTCTTCCCATTGACTTGATTATAGACAGATTCTAGTTGTTAAATGGATAGACGTGATGAAATAGAGCACTTGGATATTTATTTCTAATGCCCACCAGGCTCCTCATCCATATTCTATCGTCATTAGATCTGCCATCTTTTAGGTAGGGGATCAAGCTGGGCCAGATCTACGCGCTCTGGAGACTGGAGTGTCTAAACGACGAGAACACAGTAGGACAACTAAGGTCAATAGGTATGTTTCCCGTGCGGTTCTGCAGCGGCACCACCAGGTATGCCAGCGGTGACCTTCGACTGGCTCGACAAATCCACCTGTATCAGTTTGTGGAAGGCCAAAGTGTATCGGCCAACTACTCACGGATCCGTTGGTACCTGAGCCATGGAAGCCCCTGATTGAGTTCATTGAGGACGTGCGCAGGAGGGACCACGCAGTCGGGAGGTATGTCTTGTCGCCCGGTACCTTTGCTGAGCCAGGCAAACCAGGCATGGGCATGGTCCGGCAGCATTTCTCGATAATGAGATCGATTACTGTGTCCTGCGCCCTAGTTAGTTCATGCGTAAGTGAGAGTTATTTACTCATTGAACCTGCTAACTCTCGTTGCTTTCGTCATTGTGGCATCAGAGAACCTCTTAGAGGCCCCCATGTGCAGTGATTCGCAATCAGAGAGCATGATCTACGCAGCCTACGGCGACGGCTATCCCCTTCATCAGTGCCATTGACATTGTGGCAGTCGCTTTTCGAGCCCTGGCAGATCCTCAATCACACAATCGCGATCACCGCATTCTGGGACCAGAGCTTCTCACGTATGATCAGATAGCCGAGAAGCTGACTGCGATCTTGGGCCGACAGGTCGAGCATGTCAAGATGACAGGAGCCGAGCGGTACGAAGTATTGATCAAGGCTGGCGTCTCAGGCTACTATGCCCGGTCTCCGGGGTAATCTCGCGACTGCAGCATCAACTGGCTCTGAGACTGGAATGAGCAACAGAGTGGAAATAGTCACTGGACGAGCTGCAAGAACTTTTCGATCAGATTGCACAGGAGAACAAAGTTATTTGGAGTGAGGAGTTTATTGAACGGCACAAACGTACCTCTCTAGCTTATGATCATCAGGGAGGTCTAATGTGGTGTCCATGGTTCATTCTCTATAACAGCGCAAGAATCAACCCGCTAAAAGTGGTCAAAACCTGATTGGCAGAAAAAAGTCACATGCTGTGATCCTACGGGCGGGTCATGACATCATAACCCAGCAGCTTTCCCCAGATCTGCTGTCCGGTTGTCGAGCGGGGATTCTTACCTTAGTTACCAGTCAGTACCTGTGAGGTATGCTACAACATCATTACAGAACCATTATCAAAAAATGACATGACCTGTTGATCAGCAATTTCTCGTTGGATTAAGTAGTTCTGCCGTGGTGGGGAAATCCGAACGATCGACAGTTTACCTTATGTAGGAGGGCGAGACCCCTTGTACGTAGTGGCAAAGCTCAGATTAGGACTAAGCTACGGAGGTACATACTGCATGAAATACAGAGTAAAAAGGCGCAAAGCTACCATTGCACACCGAGAACATTTCTGGTCTACTCCGATGCAAATTAACATTTCTACTAAAATTAGTGAAGTACGTTACTCAATTGGGGGACCAGAAATAAAAAGTAGTATAAAAAACAGAAAAAAACAGTGGTTGCACAGACACAAAACCCTGGTCAAGCTTGGGCGGGCTAAGGGCCCAAGGCCTGGAAGATGGTAGCATGCCTTCCTTGTCCTTGGTCTAGGTGCGTAAAACCCCCAACACTTTTAAAGCAAGTACGTACGTAGCAAGACAGTCCATTAAAAAGGAGACGAACTAGGGGGCGCAGAAATTTTCTTTTTCGTCAGATAAATTATTGGCATTCCAAGTTTTATAATTCTACCTCTTCACTATATTTTGAACTCCCTTCAAAACCTCTACACCCCTCCCTCTTCTCGTGCGGCCTCAAACCTGGTCGGGTACCTGAGACAAGACGAACCTCACCCGCAGCTGAATCTGGACAAACGCAGAACCAACCTCCCACACTAGACTAATCCCCGCCACTCGGACCCCCGCACGGTCGAAACCACCTTTTTCTTGGAGAAGAGAGAAGGAGAGACGGGAGACGAAAAGCTGCAGGTTCGTGCCTCTTCCATTTCTTTTCCTCAGCGCCCGCCTTTCTCTCATTGTGATCTTTTGACCCCAGCTGGATTGTGCTTCGTGCTGGTCAGCTCTGCCTGAGATTGGCTTCAATTGTTTCTGCTTTGATTCTTTACGAGATTGCATACCTCCTACAGCTTCTAATCTCAAATTCAAGGTATCACAATGGACAGCGAGGATACTGGTCCCGACCCTCCCAAGAGAGATGTTCGCAACCACATCCTCTTTGAGATTGCTACCGAAGTCGCCAACCGAGTCGGTGGTATTTACTCCGTGCTCAAGTCTAAAGCTCCAGTCACTACAGCTGAATATGGTGATCGATACACCCTGATCGGCCCTCTCAACCGGGCCTCCGCAGCTGTGGAGGTGGAGGAGCTGACTCCCTCGAACCCTCGCATGGTGGAGACCATGAACTCCATGAAGGAGCGTGGCATTGACATGGTATATGGTCGCTGGCTGATTGAGGGTGCTCCCCGGGTCCTCCTCATCGACACAGGAACTGGATACAAGTACCTGGATGAGTGGAAGGGCGACCTATGGAATATCGCCGGTATTCCGTCTCCGGCCTCGGATACGGAGACCAATGAGGCCATTGTCTTCGGTTACTTGGTGGCATGGTTTTTGGGAGAAGTACGTCAGCTTCCCGTGGACACTAACTGCAAATTGAACTGCAAGGCGATGATTGCTAACTGATGGCCTTAGTTTATCGCTCACGAACGCCGGCGTGCAGTAGTCGCTCATTTCCACGAATGGCTTGCCGGTGTCGCCCTGCCTCTGACCAAGAAGAGGCACATGGATCTGACCACTATCTTCACGACTCATGCAACCTTGCTTGGTCGGTATCTTTGCGCCGGGTCTGTCGACTTTTACAACAATCTACAGCATTTCGATGTGGACGCCGAGGCTGGCAAGAGAGGCATCTATCATAGGTACTGCATCGAGAGAGCCGCCGCGCACGGCGCAGACGTCTTCACTACGGTCTCACACATCACTGCATTTGAGAGTGAGCATCTGCTCAAGCGCAAACCGGACGGGGTGCTTCCCAATGGATTGAACGTCAAGAAATTCGCAGCAGTGCATGAGTTCCAAAACTTACACTCCCAGTCCAAAGAGAAGATCAACGACTTCGTTCGCGGTCACTTCTATGGCCACAATGACTTTGATCTGGACAACACACTCTACGTCTTCACGGCAGGTCGGTATGAATTCCGGAACAAGGGAGTGGATATGTTCATTGAGGGCCTGGCTCGTCTCAATCATCGCCTCAAAGCTAGCGGGTCCAAAACGACTGTTGTGGCCTTTATCATCATGCCCGCACAGACATCGTCGCTGACTGTGGAGGCCCTCAAGGGTCAAGCGGTCGTCAAGTCCTTGCGAGATACAATCGAGATGATCGAAAAGAGTATCGGAAAAAGGATGTACGAGCGTTGCTTAGCCTGGAGAGAAGGCGACAACATGCCCGACGAGAAGGATTTGATTACCAGCCAAGACCGTGTGCTGCTGCGTCGGAGACTTTTCGCCATGAAGCGGCACGGACTGCCTCCGATTGTGACGCACAACATGCTCAATGACCATGAGGATCCGATTCTCAACCAAATTCGTCGGGTCGAGCTTTTCAACTACCCGACGGACCGCGTCAAGGTCATCTTCCATCCGGAGTTCCTGAACTCCTCCAATCCGGTTCTGCCTCTGGATTACGACGACTTTGTCCGTGGTACGCATCTGGGAGTCTTCCCCTCGTACTACGAACCCTGGGGTTACACGCCCGCAGAATGTACCGTGATGGGCGTTCCAAGCATCACCACCAACTTGTCCGGTTTCGGCTGCTACATGGAGGAATTGATTGAAAACTCCTCCGACTATGGAATCTACATTGTGGACCGTCGCATGAAGGGCGTTGACGACTCGGTCAATCAGCTGACTGAATTCATGTTCAACTTTGTCCAGAAGAGTCGGCGACAGCGCATTAACCAAAGGAACCGCACGGAACGTTTGAGTGATCTGCTCGATTGGAAGCGTATGGGTTTGGAATATGTCAAGGCTAGACAGCTGGCTCTAAGAAGAGGTGAGGAAACTCAGTGGGACCAAGCCGTTTACTTGATGCTGACTCCATGTATAGCCTACCCTTCATCCTTCGATGGTACCGAAGACTATTTCGACGTCATTGGAGGAACAGAGCAGAAACTTTCGCGTCCATTGTCAGTCCCGGGTCTCCGCGGGATCGATCGGGACTGATGACTCCGGGTGATTTTGCTACCATTCAGGAAGTCAAGGAGGACCTGGGCACTGAGGACTATATCGCATGGCGTTTGCCGTAAGTCTCTATCTTGATCCGGGCAATGAGGACAGGACATCACTGACAAGACGCAGTACTAGCGAGGAGGAAGAGCCTGATGACCATTACTTCCCGCTCACTCTACGGACGAAGAAGTCTTCGGATCGACCTTCGTCGCCATTGGATAGCATCCCCGTTAACGGTGGCCGCTGATTCCGATGGCCATGATCGAAGGGTTTGATCACTCGCGGATCCACAACTCCAAGTGAGCATGATTTAAATTTAAAGAATCAAGTCACCGGCAGCTGTAACCCCACTGATTGTCGATCTGCATTTTTTTTCTCATTTCATTGTTCATTGTTTTCTCTCATTCTGCATCAAACCTGCATGTTCTCTTTCCTTGTTCTCTGGATCATCATTTCAACTACGTGCTATATTTCTTGGAGATGATTGATGTGGACTTATTTGACCCGACTGTTTGTTGCGTCAATCTGATCATGATCGCCTAATGATTGAGTTGCCGTGCTGCTGATGAACTCTGTGTCATGTCTGCATCTGTTCATCGTGTCATTTGTGCCTTGCTCTCTACATAGCGTGCTGTTTCATTGTTTCCCTTGAATCTCCATGCTGGTGGATTCTTCTGTCAACAGAGATGAGGCCTTACCTTGAGAAATTGCATTTGTATATCTCGAAGTGTCTACTGCAATCAAGTATCTAGTAACAATAGGCGGTACGTCGACTATTTGAGCAGTAATATGAGCATGATTCATGAGGTTGCAAGGATACTCTCATGTTTGTCTTGCGTCCCAGCATTTCCTATTGGAGGATTGAGTCATTATTCGCATGGTCCGTCGGCAATTATCGGATCTAGGAGAGGGTGAAATGGGGCCACGATCATAGTGATGTGATGAGAACTCTAATACTGCACACTTTTAAAGCCAATCAAAGAAACTGGTAGTTTTCGTAGCCCACAGTGGGTAGCAACGTTGAACCTGAACAGATAGAGGTTGGAGCCATCCCGGTGAGACTGATATGTGTGGTCATGGTGGGGTAATCGGCCTGCTCCCCTCCGCTCTGCTATTTCTACCCTCCTCCTCTTCTCCTTCTCCTTCTTGTGTCTCAATCTTCCGTTCATCGTGTCAATTCATCGATAGAAACTTCTGCCATCCCTCTGGTAGGACTCACCATGGGGCCGCGCAGTCAGGATGACCCTCGGGGTCATTTCGCTAGGGGTTGAGATGGGTCAAGGTATCGTACATTGTATAATAACAGTCACTGCTCGCGCATGACAGGTGTTCGATCTGGGTTTCTGTCTGAAGACTGGTGCTTTCGTTCGGCATGCTCGACCGGTCTGTGGTCAATTTTGACCCGGAGGACCGAGAGTCCCAGTCTACAGACAGAAACCCGGTCGTTCTGAGATTATACTGTCATAACTTGATCTAGATAATACTAGCGAAAGGACATGCGTGGCACTGATTGTCCCCCTTACCCCCTTTATGAAAGATGAGGGGGGGCTTGCCTCTCTGTTTGCTGACTGATTCCAGAACAATTGCAATTTGCCGTCGAGTGAATCGCTGTCAAGATGTCTACTGACAAGATCACCTTTTTGACCAACTGGTACGGCTTTGCAGTTGTTCTGACACCGATCTCTGTTTGGTGTTTATGTGCTGTGAGACCAGCTTGCTAAGTGGTCTGTCTTGTATAGGCACGCGACGCCCTACCATGCCCCTCTGTACCTTGCCCACAGCAAGGGCTTCTTCAAGGAAGAGGGCCTCAAGGTTGCTCTTCTGGAACCTAATGACCCCTCCGATGTGACCGAGATCATCGGCAGCGGCAAGGTTGACATGGGCTTCAAGGCTATGATTCATACCCTTGCTGTATGTGACTGTTTGTGGTCATTGATGGTTGGATGCTTACAGTCATCCAGGCTAAAGCTCGTAACTTTCCCGTCACCTCGATCGGCTCTCTGCTCGACGAGCCTTTCACTGGAGTTGTCTATCTCAAGGATAGCGGAATCACCGAGGACTTTCGCTCCCTGAAGGGCAAGAGAATCGGCTATGTTGGAGAGTTTGGCAAGGTTTGTCGTGTCTTTTTTCCTTTAGAAGGAAGGACATGTACTCACTGCGGTGATAGATCCAAATCGATGAGCTCACCAAGTACTACGGCATGACCGCCGACGACTACACTGCCGTCCGCTGCGGCATGAACGTCACCAAGGCCATCATCCGCGGCGACATTGACGCCGGCATCGGTCTGGAGAACGTGCAGATGGTCGAGCTAGCCGAGTGGCTCGCCTCTCAGAACCGCCCCCGCGATGACGTCCAGATGCTCCGCATCGACCAACTCGCCGAGCTAGGCTGCTGCTGCTTCTGCTCCATCCTCTACATCGCCAACGACGCCTTCCTGGCCGCCAACCCCGACAAGGTGCAGAAGTTCATGCGCGCGGTCAAGCGCGCCACCGACTACGTCCTCGCCGAGCCCGCCAAGGCCTACGAGGAGTACATCGACGTCAAGCCCATCATGGGAACCCCCGTGAACCGCAAGATCTTCGAGCGCTCCTATGCGTACTTCAGCCGCGACCTCAAGAACGTCCAGCGTGACTGGGCCAAGGTCACCAACTACGGAAAGCGTCTGGGCATCCTCGACGCGGACTTTGAGCCCAACTACACCAACAAGTACCTCTCCTGGGACCTGGAGGCGGACTCGACCGACCCGCTTGGTGACCAGAAGCGCATGGCTGACCTGCAGAAGCAGGTTGCCGCTGAGGGCGGTTTCAAGCGCCTTCAGGTGTCTGCTACTGCTTAGGCACGTCGCCCCTTTTCCCCGTTCTGCTTCTGGGTAGTACAACTTGATGTCGGACCAGCGATCGTTTGTGGTTCCAGATACCTAGTCAGTCGCTCGTTAGCCTAGCTGTGAGACAACCAATGGAAATCATGGAATTTATCAATTCAGTTTGAAATAGCTGTAATACATCACCAGGTCCGATGGCTATTATGGTCCTTGTTGAGATAAATCTATCATTTGCGCTTCGTAAGATTTCTTCGACTGACTCCATGAAAAAAGGTTTATTAGTAGCACTAAAGAGTAGCATACGACTCCTAAGTGTCTCAATCATCACCAAACACCCGCCCTCGAAAATCCGAATGCGATAATCGCTGATGGCCCAACAGCGAGAACTCAACCCCCTCAACGTCCCCTCGCTAAGATCATGCTCATCCCCATTGAACTCATCAACAGGCTTCCACCCGCCCCGTTCCCGGACAGTTTCTCGCGCCGCAAATCGCCGCCGAACAAACCACGCACACACAGCCAGAACAACAGCAGAGGCAAACCCAACCGCAAAGAACAGGAATGCGCGCACATCGATCGAGGACGAGCCGTCGTCGTTGCTGTCACCTTCGCCCGGGCCGAGGGCGACTTCCTCAGACGCCGGATCCCAGTGCATCCACGCCGTCGCACCGAGGATCTGGCCTGTAGCATTGAGTGCAAGGACGCGCAGGTAGTCTTTGGATGTTTGCGGAGGGATGGAGATGAGAGTCTCGAAGCCTGACTTGGGCACGGCGGTGAGGAAGGTTATTGACTCATCGTCCTCGTCGTCCTCGTTAGGGTCATGCCTGTCCGAGCCTTGAAGAACCCAGGTTGCGACCTCGGTTGCCCCGTTCCAGCTGACGGCTGCTTCGTAGCGGTACAGGGCGAGAGCCGGGTTCGTGCGCGGGCGGCCTGTCCAGGCGTGTTTGAAGACGCGGTAGGAGAGGATATTGCCTGCGCCGAAGGCGGATGTCGGGCCGAAGTGGACATGGCAGAGGACGTCGCCGGCGAGGGTGTACTCTGTCCAGGCGGCGTTGGCGCCGTAGCCGAGGAGGACGTTGCCGGTGTCGAGGAGCTGGACGGACCCCTGGGACTGGCTGCTGATGGGGTGGGGGTTCCAGTACTCGTGTCGGAGGCGGACGGTCATTTGGTGCGTGTCGAGATCGAGGTAGAGGCCTCGGCTGGTGAGACGCGGGGCGCCGTCGCCGCGGGAGGCGTTGTCGAAGAGCGTGACGGCCGTGCCGTTATCGCGGAAGCGGGCGTGGTGCTGCCAGGTGAAGTTTGTGGCGGCGCCGGCGGAGAGGTCGTGGAAGTCGTTGTGCTTGCCGCCGAGGCGCCAGATGATGTCGCCTGTGCGGCCGTCGATGTACGTGAGACAGCTCATGTAGCGCGAGGAGACGAGGAAGTTGCCCTTGGCGTCCTTGTCGACGCTGTTGATGTGGAAGAAGTCCCAGGGGCGGTCTTCGGAGTCGCCATTGCCTTCGCGGCCGCGGTAGCCGTCGGTGAGTTTGAAATGCTCGGATGCGCGCCACTGGAAGAGCAGCTGGCCGGTCTCGACGTCGACTTCTTGGAATGTGCCGTCCCATATCCAGCCGTTCTCGGGGCCGCCTGCAGACCGTAGATCTGCGGGGACGATGTCGTAGACGGTGAAGACGGCGGTTTCATCACCGGTGATGTGGAACTCGTGGAGGTCTGCAGGCAGGCCGTTGGCTCCCCGGACCGTATACGCCTCTTCGTAGGCCGAATCTAGCTATACCGAAGGATTGGCATCTGCCGCCTGTTTACCACGGTAGACACAGACACAGGGCTTACCATGTAGTATGTCCCGTCGCCATGACCAACGATCCCATCGTTACCCACCCAGAACGTGAGATAGTCCTGGCCTTTGTACCTGTACACGTTCACATTGTACGTCTGGCCGTAGTGTTTCGTCCACACCAGGTGACCATCCTGATCGATGATCATGGGCCCCGGATCTCGCACCGCCATTCCTCGGGGCGCAATCAGCGTGTACTGCCCATCCTTGCATTGAGGATTGGACTGCACGTAGTTCAATATGGGGCCCATCAGAGAAGAAGAACGATATGTCTCTGTGGGCCATTGTCCCAGGTCCCCATCTTCAAAGCGGCTCGACTGGAAATACGGTCCTCGATCTGCTTGTACAAGAGTGAATGCCGTCGCGACGGCGAAGCATGGATCTCGCAGCCTCATCACATCAATCAAGAAAGAAAAGTTTGTCCGGAATATGGTACAGCAGACCGCCGCCACTAGCAGTGTATCGACCGTCCCGAAGACAACATGTTGGGTTGGCTCATATCTTTAGAAAAGAAAAGGAGAGAGAGAGAGACTATAAAAGGTACTCGATGGTTCGAGCGGCCAGCGACCGAACTACGACATCAAAAATCTGAACTATTTCGATAGACGCGCGGACGCCCACGTCTCCACGACAGCGAGCACCGTCTCGTCGCCTAGATCCACCCATTCGAAGCATTCCTGACTCGGATCTCGACACTCATAATGAGCTTGGATCCGTCTGGAGACCGGGAGTCACCAACTATTATTATAACCAGCGCGGAGTCATTTCGTCTTTCTTGATTGTCCGCTGCTTGTCTCGAGGAATCAGCAATCCCAAGCCCGAGATTGTAAGCCGAGCGGGTATGGCGTGGCCGGGTGGAGTCAAAGATCTCCATCTTTTGGATTAATCGCAACGCTAGAGATTTAGCGATGGAGGCCAAGTCCTGGAGGTTGCTGCAACTGTCTGCTTGCCGAAGTTAGGCGGAGTACTGCTTACGCTGCTCTTGTCCTCAGCTACCTTAGCATTGCCAACGTCCTCTTTACGTCTTATTACGAATACCTGAGAGGTTATCAAGCTCACGTCCATACACAGATCGGTCATCATGCGCAACTTCTCAATCAATATCCTCCTTCGAGGAATGAGAAGAAGCCTGCAGCAAGCTGCTTAACCTCACCGAGAGTGCTTTAACACGCCATTTGTTCCTGACATCACATTGGCTGAGACGCTGACGCAAGGTCAGTGGCATCAACATTGACACCGCTCTATGTGGAGGTAAGAGACGCCTCGCCAGTCGTCTCTCCTAGCTTCTCCGGCCGGATTGATTGCCAAGCCAGCCGAAGGGTGCTTTTATCTCGTCATTGGAGGACGAGGACTGCTTGAGTGAGCCAAACAGACTGATTTCGAATTTCTTTCACCCTGATGTTTGCCATTGTCAAGGACAAGTGAGTATCCATGCGCTGGCACGACTACTCGCGGCAGGTCCCCCATTCCGCCAACGTCTGGCCAATCTCCTGATCAAGTACAGTTCATCCCTTGCGGCATTGTGCGAGATCAAAAGCCTCTATAAATGCATTAAATATTTGTATCAAGAAAGCATCTGTCTAACAACATGAGCTTATGAACTGTGTATACATGCAGGTTAACAGCACGTCATATAATCATTAGCTGTCTATGTGTTCGGTGGGGGGGGGGGTATGAAACTAAAGAATCAAGGAATGAGATTAAGAGACAGAATGTGACACGCCCCATTTTTTAGTGCGACTATTTGGTGCGCTTGTAGATCTTGCCAAGGAATGCCTCGAAGACCTCTTTCTTCAGGCCCTGACTTTCGTCAACGGCTGCGATCTTGCTGCGGAGTTCACCAACGGTCTTCTCCTCATACTCCTTGTAGACCTTCTCCAAATCGAGTTCCTTGTACAGCGCCTTGACCTTGGCCTCAAGCTCGCTGTCCTTGCGGCCGTAGGCGGTGTCGAGGAGCTTGCGCTGCTCAGTGCTGCAGCGCTGAAGGGCTTGGTTGATCAGCCATGAGCACTTGTTGTCCTGGATATCGGTGCCGATCTTGCCAATAACAGCCGGGTCACCATAGGCGTCCAGGTAGTCGTCCTGGACCTGGAAGTACTGACCCAGCGGGATCAGGATGTCGTGGGTCTGTTGAAGGTTCTCTGAGGTGGCGAGCTCGAGGTAGTGCAAAGCAAGAGCAACGGGAAGGTAGAAGCTGTAGTAGGCGGTTTTGTAGGTCACGATAAACATGTACTTCTCCATGGAGAAGTTGTCCAAGTCGACCTTGTCCTCAGGGGCCGTAATGAGATCGCACAGCTGACCAAGTTCCGTCTGCCAGGTGGTCTCGTGGAACAGCTCGAGGAAATCGACGTAGGCAGGGTGAGAGCGGAAGTGCTTCTTGAGGATAACGTAGATGCCGGACTCGAGCATGAACGCGTCGTTGATGGCGATCAGCCCGACTCCGGGGTGGCGGTACCAGCACGGCTGGCCACGACGAGTGATCGAGCTATCCATCATATCATCGCTGACCAAGAAGAAAGCCTGAAGCAGCTCGGTCAACCAACCCAGGATGCTGAGATGCTTGAACTGCTCGTCGGTCAGGGGCTTCTGCAGTAGAGCGAGGCCGGTATCTGGAACAGAGAGGCCGCGGTTGAGCTTTCCACCGGGAACATTGACATTGATCACCTATGAAAGAATATTGGTCAGCTTCACGGCTGTTCCTGAGATCAATTATAAGCGGGCGCGTCGACCAGGGCTCACCTGTTCTAACCACTTCAACGCATTCTCAGGCAGATTATATTTCTTAGCATGGGCCAGAAGATCTTCGGCCAACGTGGGGAAAACAGCCTCGAAGGCTTCACGGCTGGTGGTAGTCGCCATCCTGCTTGTATTGGAAGTGTCTTTGGGGAACAATGGAATTCTTTCGAGCCCCTTTTTTAAGCAATTGATGTTACAGAGTAATACCAAAAGAGAGGAGGGGCGGAAAACATCTGCGATAACGGAAACCCCTCGGGGATGGAAACTTTTTGCATTGTTTGCACTATTTGGTCTGTTCGCTCTCTAGCTCAATGGGGAAATGGCCCAATCGGGAAATTTGTCGGCCAACTATGATCATGATCACTCCTCTATGCATAGCCAGGTACTCTCTCGCGGCATTTGTGGTCTTTAGCTGCTGAAGTTGGGATACTAGGCTTATTAGCACTGTGGACTGCCTGGACTTACATGAGGTCAGCAGCAGCAGCTCTTTGGTGATCTCGTCTCGACGACAACATTCGGTGTCGGCCATTTCGCGATCCGAGCAAGGCGCGACAATAGACTCAACGCGACGGTTGAGATAGCTAGCGACGCCCTTGATCCGCATGAGAGAGGAATGTGATAGCGGTTGAACTACCAAAGAAGAAGCTTCACGACGCGTTCAACAACGGATGCCAACACGCCCTCGGAGGCATCGTGTGCGATAGGATCTTGGAAGATCATCAACCCTGGTCAAGATGGCGGTGAATATAACGGAAGATAATATCAAGGATCTACAGTATCGATTTGAAGACGCGACTATCAAATGCTCCGAGCGATGTCTTTACCAATCTGCCAAATGGTACAGGCCAAGATTGACCCTTTGCTTAGCGTTAAACTGATTTGGCCTCCTCAAACACAGGGCTGCCGAGATGCTTGACTCCCTCCTGCCGATTGATCAATATGATACAGATCCTGACTCACCAATGGAAATAGCCGATGCCCCGCCGACACCCCAGAATCCTTACGTTCGCAGCCAAGACCCTCTCGAACTTGCGTTAGAGGCCCAAGAAGCTCATAAATATCTGCTGGCGAAATCCTACTTCGATACGCGCGAGTATGACCGCTGTGCTGCCGTCTTCCTTCCACCAACTATACCCCCTGTTCCACTCTCCAGCACATCACTTCCTACGACATCACCGAAACCGAAAACGAGACAGTCATTGACTCCGCAGAAAGACAAAGCCAAGTCTACTTCGTACTCGAGTGTCAAAGAGAATAGCACGGCAAGGAATCCATATCCCAAGCTGAGTCAAAAGTCATTATTCTTGGCCTTGTACGCCAAATATCTAGCAGGGGAGAAGCGAAAGGATGAAGAGACGGAGATGGTGCTGGGCCCGGCAGATGGAGGGATGACCGTCAACCGGGAACTCCCCGGCTTGGCTTGGGGGCTTGAAGGGTGGTTTGCGGAGAGACGAGAAAGAGGCCTGGAAGAGCGTAACCAGGGCTGGTTGGAGTATCTTTACGGTGTTGTCCTTCTAAAAGGTCGCAATGAAGAGGAGGCCAAGAAGTGGCTTATCAGGAGTGTTCACTTGAACCCATTTCATTGGGGTGCTTGGCAAGAGCTGAACGATCTGCTTTCAAGCACGGAAGACGTACGTTGCCTTGCTGCTGATTGATCTGTTGCCGGTTACTGATCCTCTGCGCAGTTGAAACAAATAGTAGACCTTCTCCCTCAGAACATCATGACCCTCATCTTTCACGTTTATTGCAGTCAAGAGCTCTACCAGGCGACCGAAGACACCTATCAGGCTCTGTCAGAGCTAGAGACGATTTTTCCTACCAGTGCATTCCTAAAGACACAAAAAGCGCTTCTCTATTACCATTCGAAAGGTTCTGGTGTCCTACACCCGTCGCTGATTCTCAGGCTAACTATCCTAGTAGACTTTGAAGAAGCATCACATATATTTACAGAGATATTGATAACATCTCCTCATCGTCTTGACAGCCTTGATCACTACTCCAATATACTTTACGTTATGGGAGCGCGTCCACAGCTAGCCTTCGTCGCCCAGGTTGCAACCGCCACCGATAAGTTCCGCCCTGAAACATGCTGTGTTGTCGGCAATTATTACTCCCTCAAATCCGAACATGAGAAAGCTGTGATGTACTTCCGCCGCGCTCTCACACTCGATCGAAACTTTCTCTCGGCCTGGACCCTCATGGGCCACGAATACATCGAAATGAAAAATACCCACGCAGCAATTGAATCCTACCGGCGGGCCGTTGACGTGAACCGCAAAGATTACCGTGCGTGGTATGGGTTGGGCCAAGCGTACGAAGTGCTCGACATGTCATTCTACGCCTTATTCTACTACCAGCGCGCAGCCGCGTTGCGGCCCTACGATCCAAAAATGTGGCAGGCGGTTGGATCCTGCTATGCCAAGATGGGCCGTGTCGAGCAAAGCATCAAAGCGCTCAAGCGCGCTCTCGTCGCTGGTTCATATTACGCAGATGACGCCTCGCAGGGCGGTGGATTGGGCGGACCGGGGCGCAAGATTCTCGACCCGGAGACCCTGCACCAGATTGCCACACTCTACGAACGGCTCGGGGACGAAGAAGAAGCCGCCGCATACATGGAACTCACACTACAGCAAGAAACTGGCCAAGGCCCCGAGGATGAGTCCTTCGTCTCGGACAACGACAATGACGATGACCAGTCCGGCGGTGAAGGTCAGCAAGGTTCACGTCGCGCTCGACAGTCGTCTTCGTTCGGCAACCAGAACGATAGCGAAGATGGAACGTATCATGGTACCGGTGTAACGGCTACGACATCCAAGGCGCGTCTGTGGCTTGCGCGGTGGGCCTTGCGCCACGGTGACCTGGAAAGAGCAGATCAATTGGCGGGTGAACTATGTCAGGACGGAGTCGAAGTCGAAGAGGCAAAGGCATTGATGAGAGATGTCCGGGCAAGACGAGAGGGGGGTGGATAATTTCAAAGGAATCATTTCTCGTTGACTTACTCTTTTTATGAAGCTTAGCGAAGGCGTTATGTCGAATGGATGGGTAGGGTATAACTTGATATAGACCAATATGACGCATACTCCAAATAGAAATAACATGGCCAGTGGCTTCTCCTTTCAATCGTCTTATTATATACACATTCGACTATTGGTGTATTATCCCATGGCCCAAGCAAGTCCAACCAATGCCTGTATATAAAGAGTAGGTTCCAAGACCGTCCCTCCAGCAATAACAATTCCCCAACTCCTGTCCCAGGGGTACAGTATGGACTGTAACGCAAGGGATGTCTAGGCACTCAAATCTCCCAAAATTAACAATTCACGACTGTCAAACGTTATAGAGATACGCGGTGCCCTCGCAGCACTCTGTGCTCTGATCAACTCGCGTAGAAATGACCGCTGACCTCCTTCACCATCCACCGGTGTCCCGGGTATCTCTGAAACACAAACACTATCATTCGAGTTTTCAGACTGTGTCTTTGAGCCCCAGGATACGCAGGCATAGAAATATTCTCTCCCAATACCCTCCCATGTCATGCGAAGAAGGAAACTGGGGTCGTCTAGTCTTGCCTTGAGAGTGAGGAAATTGGCATCAAGAATGAAAATCTTGCCGTTTCGTGGAGTTTTATGTCTGTTGCATTTGAGGGCTGTTGAGACGTGTTGGCTGAGTTCGAGAAGAAGGTTCCCGAGCGAGTCTTGCGATATTGTTGCTATATACAAGCCCAGGGCAAGGCCATGATGTACCGTACTTGGATTGGTGCTCCTGGTAGGATGTGGTCTGTTTGAACATATTTTCTGTACGAAGGTCTGGATATCCTTGGCGAGATTGGATGAGCTGGGAGGGATTAAGCTGTTGGCAGAGACATCATGAACCAGGTCCTGACGGAAGTATAATGGAATCATTGTCAGTTGTGCCTCGATGTATGAGTGTTGATTGCTGCAAGAGTTAGGAACGACAGGAGCGGCACCGGCAGCATGATTCTCGGTGAGCTTTCGACGCTTTCTAGGTTGCAAAGGTAAAGTTATGCAGGCTTCTAACTCATTTGAGGCTTTTGAGTCATTCGATGGAAAGGATGTTTCATTCTCCTCGCCGTAACTAGCACTGACACATTTGGAGGGGTCAGATGAAGACTCCTGGTTTTGTCTTTTACTACCTCTTTGAATTGACGATAGGTTGTCATTGCTTCTCAGAAGCTTTCGAGGAGGCTCGGATGGTTCCGGCGAAGATGCTGATGTGGTAGAATCATCCACGAAAATGGGAATGGGATCTGCTGGTACACGCTCCTCGCTGACGTGATTCGATTGTTGGGTGGAGTTGCTCGATGAATGTTGCACTTGGCTTCTGATAACATCCGTGGCGATAGCTTCGAACGACGGACCCTTGCTCGGGCTAGATGCTGTTATTGGACACGAGCTTGTCCCAGAGGATGTGGTCTGTGACTTTGTCACGATATAGTGCGATGACACCTGTCCTTGCTGGAGCTGTCTTCTCCACTCTTCCTCTTGATGCAAGTCTTCTTCTGGTACCATCCGAGCTTCTTCAGCTAATAGTTGGAGTTCTTGGTACGAGGCTGCCTCTTCAAATGATCTGTCCAGGAAAATCTTTTGAATTCGAGGAAATCGAAGTGTAAAGTATCTGGCACATGATGGCTTCTCGAATCCACCTCCCAACATCTCGACCACGAACGGTTTCTTGAACACGGTATTCATGTCGGAGAGACTATCCTTTCCAAATACTATCCGGAATCCATGGCTTGAATCCAGACCGCAAGCACAAAACTGCCCAAACTGATTGAGAATTTGCATATTTTTCAGGCTCATGGAGTTACGGTCAATTACATCCATAACTTGAAACTTTGGCTCAGCTGCGGACTGTAGGACGGTGTCTTTGTTGACCAGACAGCCGATGTAAAAGTGTGTCCAAAATATCTTGGTGGATAGATTCAACGCAGCAGCATCACGAGAGTCATATTTCGCGCCGACTAATGCCAAGTCCACGGTGTCACCCAACCCTGGTATATAGTCCTTCTTGAGCTTGATCCAGCGACCAGCAGAGCCGTTCTCTGAACCAGGAAAGATGGAGAAATAAGGATCTTCACAACATTTTAGGACGAGTCCTTCCCACCTCTCCGTAACGGCTCTCGAAAATATTGTTTCTAGACGCGATCGACCGTCAGGACGGGAGAATTCGACGATGTGTTGCTCTGCAATGTCCGCATATCCATCTCTTACTTTTACAACATCCTTTAGAAGTAGCCGTCGCTCACGATGTGGCTTCCTAAGGCAGATGTCGTCATCAAGAAGCAGAATGTCGAAGAACACAATCATTAAGTGCTCGTAAGGTTGCGGTCTAGCGCAAGTCAGCAATGGTTAATGC